ACTCAGGGACACAAAATCGTTGAATTAAAGAGTATGTCAGACAACACGCAGAGGAGTGGCAGAGTCACTAGTCGCAGCCAGAGGCCAGTGCTCCCGGTGTCATCCAGCGGTCGTGTCTCCACCGACAACCCTGCCGTCATCGATTGGTTGGCTCGGTCGTCTTCCTCTTCCCAGGACACCTCTGACACCTACAGCCAACGGCCGGTGGGTACGTCAGACACAACCGTTAGTTGGCATGGCCCGGGAGCAAGCCCACTGAAATCACGTGTCCTCTACCTGCCCCTGTCCTTTGGTGTTCCCTCACCAAGCGAAGTATCGCATGCTGTGGGCTCAGCCCCACTGTACAGTGAGGAAGAGCTAACAGAGGGCGGTCAGGAACGGGGGGGAGACATCCGCCTCTTCAGCAGCCAGGCGAAGAAGTACTGGCGAGGAGAGTGGCTCGGTAGCCGGTCTAAAGACAGGTCTGTCTCCTGACCCACACGCAGCCGAGGGGGCTAGTAGTGAGGCGGAGACCCTAATTGATGATGATGAGGCTGATCGCATTTGGCAGCCTCGTCGTCATCAGGCTATTGCTTCCGCATCATCAGGAGAAGAGGGTGGCAGCTTGGCAGAGAGCAAAACAGTCGGTGGGTTGCCCAGGAGGCAGCAGGGTCGCAGCAGTGTCAGTGGAGGCAAACGGCCACGGAGTAGAGCACCAGCTCCACTGCAGCCTACCACACCACAGCCAGTAGTGGTGCCGGTGTGCACGGAGGAAGTAGCAGTCAGCCAGTGAGGAGTAGCGGGGGCAAAGTTTCCTACTCGGCAGTGTGGAAATTTTTCGTCAAGCCGCCCGAGGAAGTAAACGTAGCCGTATGTCGACTATGTGGCCAGAAAGTCAAGTGTGGCCAGGGGGGCCCATGTTGGGACTACAGCGTTGCGTCAGCATATGCAGCGTCGCCATTCGGTGGCCTGGGAAAACCGTGATAAAGATACGGCGGTTCTGCCTGCCCCAGCCCCCGCTCCATCACCCGCTCCGTTACTTGCTCCGTCACCCGACGTCAATCGCCCTCTATCAGCCAGTCAAGGCTCCAACACCTCTGCTGAGGGGAGTTGTCGCTCGTTGGCATCTTCCGCTCGTTCAGATGCTCCTTCTCCTGCTACTCCTCTTCACGGATTCCGTCAGCAGTCTTTCTTGGAATCCGTTTCCAAGAGACAACAGTTTGCGAGCACGCACCCGACGGTGCAGAAGCTGAACGTCCTCCTGTCCAAGTTGCTGGTGCTGCAGTCCCTCCCTTTCCAAGTGGTGGACTCTCACCTTTCCGAGAAATGATGGCTTGTGCCGCGCCGCGGTGGAGAGTGCCAAGCCGTCATTTCTTCGCCAAAAAGGCAGTGCCAGCCCTGCATTCACATGTAGAAGAGATGGTGGGCCAGTCTTTGAGCATGTCGGTCTCTGCCAAAGTGCACAGCAGCGCCGACGTGTGGAGCTGTAACTACGGTCAGGGACAGTACATGTCATTTACGGCCCACTGGGTGAACGTGGTGTGCCGGCACAGCCGCACCAGCAACTTGGACAGGTCACGCCGCTTTTGCCTCCACGTTTGCACGTCCTTGTTCCAGCAAACATGTCCGCCTCTACCACCTCTTCTTCCGCCGTGTCCTCAGCCGCCACCCCCGTGCCAAGTCCCATTACCCGACCGGCATATCACATGTGCAGGGCGCAACGGTGTCACGCTGTGCTGCACCTGGTATGCCTTGGCAAACGTAGTCACACAGGGGAGGAACTTCTGAGTGTAATGAACAGAGAAATCGACAGATGGCTGTCTCCGCGCAAACTGAAAATCGGAACCATGTTGACCGACAACGGAAAGAACATAGTGTCTGCTCTGCGTCAAGGAAGGTTGTGCCATGCGCCATGCATGGCTCACGTGTTCAATCTGGTTGTCAAGCGGTTCCTAAAATCCACCATCCCACTGCAAGACATCCTTAAAATGTCACGTAAACTTTGCATGCATTTCAGCCATTCCTACACCGCAAAGCACACCCTCCTTGAGCTGCAGCGGCAGAACGGAATTCCACAGCATCGCCTGATCTGCGACGTTGCAACAAGGTGGAATTCAACCCTACACATGTTAGACCGCCTTTACGAACAGCGAAAGGCCATCACCGATTTCCTGATGTTACAAGCGGATAAAGGTACTCCCCTGTGTAACTTCGATGTCAGCCATTGGCAGCTCATGCGTGACACCTGCCGCTTGCTCAGGCCCTTTGAGGAGGCCACGCTATTCGTGAGTCGGCAGGACTATGGGATGAACGACGTCATTCCTCTGTTGCACGTCCTGGAACAAATGCTGTTAACAATGGCTGGTCAGGGTGCGGTAGACGTGGCGCACAGATCTCAACGCCACATGACTCCTGTGGGGGCAGGACAGGAAGAAGAGGAGGAGGTAGAGGAGGACATTGGTGCTCAGGAATTATTGAGTGAAATGGGTGGTTTTTCCACTCAGCGGACAGGAGTGGAGGAGCAGGAGCATGTGGTAGAGGAGGAGGAGGAGGAGACAGAGGACCCAGACGCACCGTGGCAGTATGCTGTGGAGATGGAGGCAGGGAGTCCCTCGCATTCCTTGGCACAAATGGCCCATAGCATGCTCGGTTGCTTGCGTAGCGACAGCCGAATAATAACCATCAGACAGAGGGATGACTTTTGGCTGTCCACCTTGTTGGACCCTCGCTACCGTTCAAAAATGGTGGCCTTTTTCACACCTGCTGAGAGGGAGGCCAAAATAACGTACTATAAAAACCACCTATGTAGTCAGTTGGTCTCTGCCTTTGTGCGCCAACGTCCATCCTCAGACACTGTGGGCCCTGTGCGCTCGCGTTCCGCTGCCATGGCAGCAGGGGAGGGGTGGGGGTGGTAGGAGCAGTGGCAGCTCCACCAGCAGCGGCTGCCTCAGTCTGCAGTCGATGATGAGTAGCTTTCTTCACCAGCGCAGTGAGGAAACTACTAACCAGCCGCAGCAGCAGCAGCATCAGGTGGACCTGGAGCAGGACCTCAAACAACAGGCTTGGGCCTACTTGGACAGCACCCTGCCAACCGAGGTAGACAATCCCCTTGACTACTGGGCAACGAAACTTGACCTTTGGCCCCAACTAGCTGAATTTGCCCTTGAAAGGCTGTCATGCCCGGCCAGTAGCGTGGCATCGGAGCGCGTGTTTAGTGCGGCAGGAGGTATTGTAACTCCGCGGAGGACACGACTGTCCACCCAAAGTGTGGAGAGACTCACGTTTGTGAAAATGAATCAGGCGTGGATTAGTCTGGATTTCAAACCACCAGTTCCTGACACAACTGACTAAATCCGCCATGAATCATGCCCCAAACATGTTATTATTTTTAACATAGGCCTCTGTATGGCCTTCAATTTAAGCTGCTTACGCTTCGTCACTCTGCCATGGGCCCCTGTACCGCCTCCTCTTGCTGCTGCCAGGTCCAGATTGTGTCATGGGTCCCTGTACGGCCTCCCATTGCTGCTGACTTCATCGCCAGACTCTGCCATGTGCCACTTTCAGGTCTCCTTACACATTGTTGGTGGGTTCCATTTTGTCATAGGGTGCTGGCAGATTACGGGCCTCCCATTGCTGCTGCCAGGCCCGTAATCTGCCATGGGCCCCTGTACCGCCTCCTCATGCTGCTGCCAGGTCCAGAGTGTGTCATGGGTCCCTGTACGGCCTCCCATTGCTGCTGTCTCCATCGCCACACTCTGCCATGTGCCACTTTCAGGTCTCCTCACACTGCTGGTGGGTTCCATTTTGTCATAGGGTGCTGGCAGATTACGGGCCTCCCATTGCTGCTGCCAGGCCCGTAATCTGCCATGGGCCCCCGTACCGCCTCCTCATGCTGCTGCCAGGTCCAGAGTGTCTCATGGGTCCCTGTACGGCCTCCCATTGCTGCTGTCTCCATCGCCACACACTCTGCCATGTGCCACTTTCAGGTCTCCTCACACTGCTGGTGGGTTCCATTTTGTCATAGGGTTCTGGCAGATTACGGGCCTCCCATTGCTGCTGCCAGGCCCGTAATCTGCCATGGGCCCCCGTACCGCCTCCTCATGCTGCTGCCAGGTCCAGAGTGTCTCATGGGTCCCTGTACAGCCTCCCATTGCTGCTGTCTCCATCGCCACACTCTGCCATGTGCCACTTTCAGGTCTCCTCACACTGCTGGTGGGTTCCATTTTGTCATAGGGTGCTGGCAGATTACGGGCCTCCCATTGCTGCTGCCAGGCCCGTAATCTGCCATGGGCCCCCGTACCGCCCCCTAATGCCGCTGCCAGGTCCAGAGTGTCTCATGGGTCCCTGTACAGCCTCCCATTGATGCTGTCTCCATCGCCACACTCTGCCATGTGCCACTTTCAGGTCTCCTCACACTGCTGGTGGGTTCCATTTTGTCATAGGGTGCTGTATGGCCTCCCATTGCTGCTGCCTCCACCACCACACTGTGGCTCCACACTCTGGTTTTGCCCCGTGACTGCCCAAATGAGTGAAGTGTGCGGTGATTCTAAGATCGACGGCACTCATCTGCATGTCATACTAACTGACAGTATTATTTCTCTTCCCCAGCAGACTCCAAGGGCATTTAAATTAAAGGTACAGTGTTCTGCACTAATATAAAGGCTCTCTGAAGCCTAGAAACACCCTTTTTATAAGTTAAATTTGCAGCGAATACATTCGCATCGAATCGAATTTATTCCTCTAATTCGCCGAATCAGCCGAATCGAATTTTTGAATACTTCGCTCATCTCTAATACTGATCACTGTACTAGTGTCACTGGGGATGTCAGTGACAGTTAGTCAGTTGCTCTCCAGTGCCACTGCAGTCCCGCTATAAGTCACTGATTGCCGCCATTACTAGCATATAAAAAAGAAATTCCAGTATATACAGTATACCGCCATTTGTAGATGCTATAACTTTCACGTAAAACCAAATAACTAAAGGAGATGAGCAAGAGACTGCGGACAGTACTGGGACAGACAGGGGATGACCAGAGACTGCGGACAGTGCAGGGGATGACCAAGAGACTGCGGACAGTACAGGAGATGACCAAGAGACTGCAGACAGTACAGGGGATAACCAAGAGACTGCAGACAGTACAGGGGATAACCAAGAGACTGCAGACAGTACAGGGGATAACCAAGAGACTGCAGACAGTACAGGAGATGACCAGAGACTGCGGACACAGTACAGGAGATGACCAAGAGACTGCAGGCAGTACAGGAGATGACCAAGAGATTGCAGACAGTACAGGAGATGACCAGAGACTGCAGACAGTACAGGGGATGACCTGTGGGTACCTGAACTTGACAGGTACCCGCTCCCACTTCCTGCTACAGAGAAGAGCTGAGCGGCCGGCCCGGTATTCTGACACGGTGGAAATACCACACTGGCCACTCCATTTTTGCTCCATAAGACGCACTGATATTTTCCCTCCATATTTGGGGTGAAAAAAGTGCGTCTAATGGAGCGAAAAATACGGTATGTAAAAAAAGTAAAAGATATTGATTATTTTTTCAAAATTGTTGGTCTATAGCACAAAAAATAAAAAAAAGCAGAGGCAATCAAATACCACCGAAAGAAAGCTCCATTTGTGGGCAAAAAGGACATAAATTTAAGTTGGGTGTAGCATTGCATGATCACGCAATTGTCAGTTAAAATAATGCTGCGCCATATTGCAAAAATTGGCCTGGTCAGGAAGAAGGATAATTCCTCTGGAGGGCAAGTGGTTAATTATGTTGCACAGCAAGGCAGTGCTAAATAAATGCAGTAAGATGGGTTATGAGACTTACTGTATTTACTGCAGGATTACAACTTTAGTCATACATTTCTTCATGCACTGCTCTAAAGTAGCAGTTGCAGTAAAATAAAACCTGACCCTGACCATCTTATCATTGTGAGTCTTTGAGGCAATATCTCTGGAGCGCAAGTGGTTAATATCCGTGGTATCTAGTATCTATTTACCTAAAGTTGAAATATTTGATTAGAGAAAGAAATGTCAATGTGCAAACCAAGCATGTTATATCCTAATGCTTTTAGCACTGGCATCTAAATATAATTTTTGCAACCAAATCTAAATGGATTACCCCATATACAGTATATGGAAAATATGTGTACATGTATATTTTTAGTATTACATTCCAAAAAAGAAAAAGCCAAGTTAAAAAAAAAATTGAGCATCTGTCCGATGAAATCATTCCACATCCTGGTGACATCTCCTTAAGAGACATGGTTTAGATTGTGGGACTTACAAACTTCAGTGGGCCCGCCAATCTGGCCTTCCCCACTTGTGGATACACCTGTCAGCACACTCTATGGAGCATTGGCATTGGCATTTTAGAAAAAATGTCTATATACATTTCTGTTTGAAAGGAATCTTTACAACCCATACAGTATACTCAAATATAGCCAAAGTACAAAATAATAGTAGCACATTTTCTCCAGAATCAAGTACTCACGGAACAGGTATCATATGAGATGTTAAAATGTTTAGATTCATTGAGCCCTAGGTGCACTGTTGTCCATAGCAATTTCTTATTTCGTTTTGTAAGAGCCTTCAATCCCAATTTCCTCCTCCAGCGTAACTACTGACCCAGTCTAGAGCAAAGAATTTTGCATTCCCTTAATTGTCGGTACGAAACATAGCCACGTGTTTTACTATTGAGGATGATAAATACTCATTTTACATAGCATATTGTAGTGTACATTATATGTAGTCATACATAATTTGCCATAACTGTCTTCTGGTCATTTCAGATCACTCTAACAATCTTAAAATTTAAGTTTGGGATTTACGTGTTTTGCCATTTGTCAATATCTGGAGATTACTCTCTTCCATGCATCTACAGTAGGAACATGACCCACATCTGTAAGTCCCTTTGTATTTGCATGGGTCATTCCTTTTATTCCCTCCATAATGACTGTGGACTAATTGACCTATAATAGATGAGACCCTTTCACAGACAATTTCAGGACAGTTTAGACACTTGTGGGATAGCTTGTAATAAGTACCAATATTTTCTATTTTTCAAATTTCATTTTTTTATTAAATTTTTCAATCGCATTACTGTATGTGATTTGTGTTGCATATGCATAACAGTAGGGATGCATGGGATTTGCTATAATTTTTCCATATTCTCTCTTGAGGGTTCTTTTTCTATAGCCTCTCACCAATAACCTTTATTGTACTTTATCAGTCTTTTCTTTGAAATCATCATTTTTGGAGCAGTTGTGTCTAACATGCAAGTATTGTCTTTGGGGAGTGGATTTAATTAGAGGCTCTGGATGAGCACTTCTGGCATGCAATGTTGTATTGACAGCTGTTTGTTTTCAATAAATATGGTGCGCCATAAGGTCCTGTCATTCATGTAGATTTCAATATGCAATAAAGCTATTTTTTGTGGTCACATACTAGAGTGAATGTTAGTTTAGAGGTGTTTGTGTTCAAGCTTGTAATGAATTCCTCCAATAGGGGCCTACTACCATTCCATATTATGAACATATTATCAATGTATCTGTACTATGAAAATAAATGGCACAAGCACATTAGCAAGGCAGCGTTAGGAAACACTCCAAACGCCATAGGTAAAGATTGACATAGGATAGGGTACAACAAGAGCCCATCACCACACCCTAAACATGGGGTTAATGGGAGCCATATGAACACATTATGACTCAAAATAAAGTCCAACAAGTCAAATAACATGCTGCAGGTTCCCATTGATTTTGGGATCTCTGTGGATGAAAAGTTTTGACAGTTTCCAATCATTTTGTATGGGGCATGATGCTTTATAATGCTTCAACATCTGCAACTGCAAACCATACATGTTCTCAGACATGTATACATTCAATCATTTGTAATTGATGAATGGTATACTTAATATATAAAGGAAACGCCATAACATGGAGTCTAAAATAAGCATCCACTAGTCTACTAGCATTTTCTATTAGTTTCTTTCATCCCAAGCTGCTAGGTCTCCTCGAGGGACAGTGGGGATTTATCTGTACTTTTGGCTAAGCATAGAATATAGGCATGTAGGCACAGTCTGTGTGTAAGATATCCTATGTTTGTTTAGAAATATCTAAATGCTTCATCAATGAATTTAGAGTATTCTTTTTTGGAATTTTAAAATATTGATGTCAATCTCTTCTTGACACCAAGCTATGCAATGGAATAACATCCTTACAGGATGTTTACAATTTACAAGCCAACCTCAGAGCACTGTTTAATTGGGCAACTGTGTGGCAAATGAGATTTAAATTTATGCACTTGGGGACTAAAAACATGAAAGCATCTTACATACTAGGGGGAGAACTGCTGGAGGAGTCAATTGTGGAGAAGGATATGGGTGTTGTGGTATATCATAGGCTTAATAATAGCTTGGAATGCCAAGCTGAGGTTTCCAAAGCAAGCAAAAACCTTTCTTACATTAAGAGAGAGGTATGGACTGAAGAGAGAGAGAGAGACAGAGAGAGGGAGAGAGAGACAGAGAGAGAGAGGGAGAGATAGACAGAGAGAGAGAACATTTTGCCCTTGTACAAATCATTAGTAATACCTCATCTGGAATATGCAGTTAGGTTTTGGGCACCAGTTCACAAAAAAGGATATTGGGGAACTGGCGAAAGTGTGGAGATGGGCAACCAAACTGATAATAGGCATGGAGGAGCTCAGCTATGATGAAAGATTAGCTGAACTGAATGTTTTCTGTCTTGAAAAGAGGAAATTAAGGAGGGATATGATCAACATGTATAAATACATATGTGGTCTATATAGTGAACTTGGTGTAGAGTTATTCATTTTAAGTTCATCACAGGGGACAAAGGGGCACCATTTACATCTGGAGGAAAAGAGATTTAATATACAAATATGGAAAGGCTTCTTCACAGTATGAGCTGTGAAAATCCCTAAAGAGCTGGTTCTGTCCAGATCAGTAGACTGTTTTTAAAAAAAAAAAAGTCTGGATTCTTTCCTAGGTACACATAAGATAACTGGATTCTAATATTTCTAGTTAAAGTTGATCCAATTCCCTCTTGGGGAATCAGGAAGGAATCATTTCTGTTTCCCCTGCTGGAGAAAATTGTATAATACTTTATTAGGGTTTTTACCTCCATCAACTGTGGGGATTGTGTATATAGGCTTGTATAAAAACAAATTTTCCCTTCTATTGGTTGAATTGGATGGACTTTTTTCAACCAGACTAACTATGTAATCCTCATTCCTAAGGATTTTAAGGCACATATTTTCATATTGTCAATGGTTAATTGTTCTTACCCTTGACTGATGGTTCTTATTTGATGTCATGATTACTTTTGGAGCCTGTTCAGTGCTTCAGATTGTCCACCAGATAAAATGTACACATATGTCCTTCTTTTGGATATTATTTCAATTTTTTTGACCCTTTGTTGTACAAAGGCCTAAATATTGGCAGTTTTGGACAGTAGAAGAAACTTTTTTTGTTTGTTTTTTAACTCTTTTTGGGGTTGAATATCTTCACTTCCCACATTTTCAACTAGTATTTGGTCCAAAACCCTATTCAATGAGTGCAACACACCCTAAAATAATATGATAGTGTTCTAAATAGTTTCTACTAAAACACAGTCAGTGACTCCACAACACCTGTATCAAAATGAATAACAATAAAGTGTAGCGCAACAAACCTATTGAAAAAAAAAAAAAAAACAATAATTAAAGTCCCATGAAAAAGTTTGTTATAACACCACTGTGCAGAGTGTATAGAATAAATCTCTCTTCTTCAGTGCCAATTGTGCAACCACCATTAGGTGAAAAAACTGCTCTCATTTTATGACCTCATCAATAGGTGCAAAACACATGGACACACTTGTGTACACCCTCTGTGGTTTTCCTCTAGCTCCTCTCCTGGAACTGCCATAGTATACACTCCTTCAGCTGACGCTCTCATGTAATATGTATTATGGAAAACAGAAAGTAGAACTTTAGTGCTCTCTATTTATAAAACAATTTATTAGCTCCCAGATTAAAACCACTTACAAAATGTAAGAAACAAGCCAGCATATAATGTATATTTCATTGCATGGCTCACCACCCCGCCCTCTCAGATGGTCATCCAGTCAAAATGTCAAGGGCTCAGCTCCTTCCACGTATACGTGTTATGCGGCTTACACCCCAGATTCAGGCTTCCTTATTAAGCAGGGAGCCAACAAATGTGGAGCCCTTTAATAACCCATATACTGTATCTCTTCTCCCTACCCCCAGAAATTACATCACTTCTTGGCCACCAGAAGTGATATTGCCAACTAGATCACCTCAGAACCCGGACGTGATGTCATCGGCCATCTTGGATCACCTCCTAACCTGGAAGTTGTCAGCTATCTTTGGATGCCTCTGGACCCAGAAAAACCTGATCCCTCAAAGCTGGGAACACACTAAAAAATGAAAAAAAGAAAAAAAAATGAAATATATATACCGTGTTCCAAATTATTATGCAAATTCTATTTAAGTGTCACAAAGATTAAATATTTTGTTTTTCAGTTTAACTCATGGATGGCATTGTGCGTCAGGGCTCTTTTGATCACTGAAAACAATCTCGGATACCTGTGATAATTAAATTGGCCGGTGAGCCCAATTGAAGGAAAAACTACTAAAGGAGGGTGTTCCACATTATTAAGCAGAGCACCATTTTCAAGCAATATGGGGAAGAAAAGGATCTCTCTGCTGCCGAAAAGAGTGAAATAGTTCAATGCCTTGAACGAGGTATGAAAACATTAGATATTTCACAAAAACTTAAGTGTGATCATCGCACTATTAAGAGATTTGTGGCTGATTCAGAGCACAGACAGGTTCATGCAGATAAAGGCACATTGAGGAAGATTTCTGCCAGATCCATGCATCGGATCAAGAGAGCAGCTGCTAAAATACCATTACATAGCAGCAAACAGATATTTGAAGCTGCTGGTGCCTCTGGAGTCCCATGGACATCAAGGTGTAGAGTCCTCCAGAGTCTTGCAACTGTGCATAAACCTTCTATTCGGCCACCAACAACCAATGCTCACAAGCAGAAACGGCTGCATTGGGCAGAAAAATACATGAAGACTAATTTTCAAACAGTCCTGTTCACTGATGAGTGCTGTGCAACCCTGGATGGCCCAGATGGATAGAGTAGTGGATGGTTGGTGGACGGCCACCCTGTTCCAACAAAGCTGCAACGTCAGCAAGGCGGTGGTGGAGTCATGTTTTGGGCCGGAATCATGGTAACAGAGCTGGTCAACCCCTTTAGAGTCCCTGAAGGTGTAAAGATGACCTCTGCAAAGTATGTGGAGTTTATGACTGACTACTTTCTTCCCTGGTACAGAAGGAAGAACTATGCTTTCTATAATAAAATCATCTTCATGCATGACAATGCACCATTTCATGCTGCAAAGAATACCTCTGCATCAATGTCTGTTTGGGGATAAAAGGAGAGAAAGTCATGGTGTGGCCTCCAACCTCCCCTGACCTCAATCCTATTGAGAACCTTTGGAGCATCCTAAAGCAAAAGATCTATGAGGGTGGGAGGAAGTTTACATCCAAACAGCAGCTCTGGGAGGCTATTCTGACATCTTGCAAACAAATTTAAGCAGAAACTGTCCAATGGATGCAAGACTTGTGAAGCTGCTATCAAACAAGGGGTCCTATGTTACAATGTAACGTGACCTGTTAAAATGTTTAAATAGTTAAAATGTTGTTAAAAGTTTGATTGAAATAGCTTTTGATTTCAGTAAATATGCTGCAAACACAACAAATGACAATTTTCAGTTGTTTACAACCTATAAAGTGTTTTGAAACTTACTGTGCGTAATAATTTGGAACAGTGCATTGTAAGTTTTTTATGTTTAAAAAAAATACTGTTATCATTAGGAGGTTTGTTCAATAAAATGTGAATTGTACTCTTAATATACTCTTGATAACATGAGAATTATGCTGACTGTTATTTACATCAATTATTTAGGTAAATGAGAAAAATATCATTTGCATAATAATTTGGAACACGGTGTATATATATATATATATATATATATATATATATATACACACACAGTATATATATATAATGTAAAAATGTATATTACTCTGATGACTGACATTCTGTAGTATCATATCCTTAGACAATATATTACATTGTAAAAAGCATATTAATAATAAAAAGGACAATTCATTCAAAATATGACTTAATAACATAGTACGCTATTACTAATAATACAGTTTAGATCAAATTCCACATTTAATCACAATGGGGAAAGGACCTATGTTTCATAAATCCAAAAGGATTCTCATTGGAGAGGTGGGAATTACATTAGGCAATTAAGTAAATGTTTGACCACCTTTTCTATCCCCCAAAAACTTAACTCTTTGGGGTCTTTATTGTGTACTTGCCTAAAATGTTTCAACACACTGTGTTCCTTTTTACCCATTTTTATATTACTAAGGTGCTCTCTAATCCTAACGTAAAGAGGCCTAGAAGTCCTTCCAACATACTGTATACCACAGGAGCATTCCATCATATACAAAACCCCCTTGATTGTACACATGATTAAATCTCTAATTTTATAGGTTTTGCTTATACTGTAGCTTTTTTTTCTTCCTTTTTTGTTATGCACATTAGTCTTCCATGCTTTACATCTACCACATGTATGAAAACCTTTTAATGCTGGAAAGAGGTTGTTATTAATATTAATGGGAGGATCTAAAACACCTGGCGCCAGCCTATTCCTTAATGTTGGTGCTTTCCTAGTTTGACATATATATTAACATTCAAAGATTCATGAGAACGTTTGAATGTTAAAAAATATTTTTTTTCCAATACAATTCTTAAATCTTCTTCTGCACAGGATGGACAATATACCCATTTTATTAATAGATCTACGCTTAGTCCCCCTCATGTTGATAGTAAATTCATAGACTTTTTTAATAATTTGGTTGTTCATGATTTAGAGAGGTTGAAAGTAAATAAGGTGCAGGACCCTATGTTTATTATAAAAGGTATTCGAACATTAGAAAATAAGAAATAAGAAAGAAGTTACAATCAGTCCAGCAAACAAAGGGGAGGGGGGGGGCATAGTGTTGATGACCAAAAGATTTTATAAGAATGAAATGAATAGGTTATTGGAAGATAGAAACACATAGGTTATTCAATAAAACCCCCCAATAAGGAATATGAAGTTGAAATAGAAAAAAAATAATTAAATGAATGAGAGCTGAATCTGTCAAATTAAAAATGCCCATTTTCTAGGCTTATAGGCAAGAGGGTGTGAAAAAAATAGCATAAATTAGCAAAATTAGTCTGCTTTGGATTTTAGGAGGTACTTCACATGCACGCACATACAAGGTCTCTCAGGAAATACATACGATGTCCAGTTTTTTTTTCTACAAACAAAAAAGATAAATAAATACCCCCCCCCTCCAAATATCCATACCAAACCCTTAATCTTAGCATAAAAGGGAACAGGAAAAAGCGCCTCTAAGTGTAGACTCACTGTAAAATGAATTGCTATAAAAATTAGGCTACTCACTTAGGCAACCACCAGGAAGAAGATTGCCAACAGCTGGGGGGAGAAAAACGCCATGGGATCAGTGGGTGTCGCTGTCTATGGACAAAGAAGCCGGCTAGCAGACATCTCACATCAGGAAGTGAGGACTGGAATGCACCATGGACCACAGCACTGGTGTTATGACTAGAGATGAGCGAAGTATTCAAAAATTCGATTCGACTGATTCGGCGAATTCGTGGAAAAATTTAGATTCGAGTCGAATATATTCGCTGTGAATTTAACTTAAAAAGGGGTGTTTCTAGGCTTCAGAGAGACTTAATATTAGTGCAGAACACTGTACCTTTAATTTAAATGCCCTTGGAGTCTGCTGGGGAAGAGAAATAATACTGTCAGTCAGTATGACATGCAGATGAGTGCCGTCGATCTTAGAATCACCGCACACTTCACTCATTTGGGCAGTCACGGGGCCAAAACCAGAGTGTGGAGCCACAGTGTGGCGGTGGAGGCAGGCAGCAGCAATGGGAGGCCATACAGCACCCTATGACAAAAATGGAAACCACCAGCAGTGTGAGGAGACCTGAAAGTGGCACATGGCAGAGTGTGGCGATAGAGACAGCAGCAATGGGAGGCCGTACAGGGACCCATGACACACTGGACCTGGCAGCAGCATGAGGAGGCGGTACAGGGGCCCATGACAGATTACGGGCCTGGCAGCAGCATGAGGAGTCGGTACGGGGGCCCATGGCAGATTACGGGCCTGGCAGCAGCAATGGGAGGCCGTACAGGGACCCATGACACACACTCTGGACCTGGCAGCAGCATGGGGAGGCGGTACAGGGGCCCATGACAGATTACGGGCCTGGCAGCAGCATGAGGAGTCGTTACGGGGGCCCATGACACACTCTGGACCTGGCAGCAGCATGAGGAGGCGGTACAGGGGCGCATGACAGATTACGAGCCTGGCAGCAGCAACTTGGACAGGAGGACGTTCAGCTTCTGCACCGTCGGGTGCGTGCTCGCAAAACTGTTGTCTCTTGGAAACGGATTCCAAGAAAGACTGCTGACGGAATCCGTGAAGAGGAGTAGCAGGAGAAGGAGCATCTGAACGAGCGGAATATGCCAACAAGCGACAACAGGGGCCCATGACAGATTACGGGCCTGGCAGCAGCATGAGGAGTCGGTACGGGGGCCCATGGCAGATTAGGGGCCTGGCAGCAGCTATGGGAGGCCCGTAATCTGCCAGCACCCTATGACAAAAAATGGAACCCACCAGCAGTGTGAGGAGACCTGAAAGTGGCACATGGCAGAGTGTGGCGATGGAGAAGCAATGGGAGGCCGTACAGGGACCCATGAGAGACTCTGGACCTGGCAGCAGCATGAGGAGGCGGTATAGGGGCCCATGGCAGATTAGGGGCCTGGCAGCAGCTATGGGAGGCCCGTAATCTGCCAGCACCCTATGACAAAAAATTCAACACACCAGCAGCAGTGTGAGGAGACCTGAAAGTGGCACATGGCAGAGTGTGGCGATGGAGACAGCAGCAATGGGAGGCCGTACAGGGACCCATGACAGACTCTGGACTTGGCAGCAGCATGAGGAGGCGGTATATAGGGGCCCATGGCAGATTAGGGGCCTGGCAGCAGCTATGGGAGGCCCGTAATCTGCCAGCACCCTATGTCAAAAAATTCAACACACCAGCAGTGTGTGAGGAGACCTGAAAGTGGCACATGGCACAGTGTGGCGATGGAGACAGCAGCAATGGGAGGCCGTACAGGGACCCATGAGAGAGACTCTGGACTGGCAGCAGCATGAGGATGGCGGTATATAGGGGCCTATGGCAGATTAGGGGCCTGGCAGCAGCTATAGGAGGCCCGTAATCTGCCTGCACCCTATGTCAAAAAATTCAACACACCAGCAGTGTGAGGAGACCTGAAAGTGGCACATGGCAGAGTGTGGCTATGGAGACAGCAGCAATGGGAGGCCGTACAGGGACCCATGAGAGACTCTGGACCTGGCAGCAGCATGAGGAGGCGGTATATAGGGGCCCTATGGCAGATTAGGGGCCTGGCAGCAGCTATAGGAGGCCCGTAATCTGCCAGCACCCTATGTCAAAAAATTCAACACACCAGCAGTGTGTGAGGAGACCTGAAAGTGGCACATGGCAGAGTGTGGCGATGGAGACAGCAGCAATGGGAGGCCGTACAGGGACCATGAGAGACTCTGGACCTGGCAGCAGCATGAGGAGGCGGTATATAGGGGCCTATGGCAGATTAGGGGCCTGGCAGCAGCTATAGGAGGCCCGTAATCTGCCAGCACCCTATGTCAAAAAATTCAACACACCAGCAGTGTGAGGAGACCTGAAAGTGGGCACATGGCAGAGTGTGGCGATGGAGACAGCAGCAATGGGAGGCCGTACAGGGACCCATGAGAGACTCTGGACCTGGCAGCAGCATGAGGAGGCGGTATATAGGGGCCCATGGCAGATTAGGGGCCTGGCAGCAGCAGCTATAGGAGGCCCGTAATCTGCCAGCACCCTATGTCAAAAAATTCAACACAACACCAGCAGTGTGAGGAGACCTGAAAGTGGCACATGGCAGAGGCAGAGTGTGGCGATGGAGACAGCAGCAATGGGAGGCCGTACAGGGACCCATGAGAGACTCTGGACCTGGCAGCAGCATGAGGAGGCGGTATATAGGGGCCCATGGCAGATTAGGGGCCTGGCAGCAGCTATAGGAGGCCCGTAATCTGCCAGCACCCTATGTCAAAAAATTCAACACACCAGCAGTGTGTGAGGAGACCTGAAAGTGGCACATGGCAGAGTGTGGCGATGGAGACAAGCAGCAGCAATGGGAGGCCGTACAGGGACCCATGAGAGACTCTGGACCTGGCAGCAGCATGAGGATGGAGGCGGTATATAGGGGCCTATGGCAGATTAGGGGCCTGGCAGCAGCTATGGAGGCCCGTAATCTGCCAGCACCCTATGTCAAAAAATTCAACACACCAGCAGTGTGAGGAGACCTGAAAGTGGCACATGGCAGAGTGTGGCGATGGAGACAGCAGCAATGGGAGGCCGTACAGGGACCCATGAGAGACTCTGGACCTGGCAGCAGCATGAGGAGCGGGGTATATAGGGGCCCATGGCAGATTAGGGGCCTGGCAGCAGCTATAGGAGGCCCGTAATCTGCCAGCACCCTATGTCAAAAAATTCACACACCAGCAGTGTGAGGAGACCTGAAAGTGGCACATGGCAGAGTGTGGCGATGGAGACAGCAGCAATGGGAGGCCGTACAGGGACCCATGAGAGACTCTGGACCTGGCAGCAGCATGAGGAGGCGGTATATAGGGGCCTATGGCAGATTAGGGGCCTGGCAGCAGCTATAGGAGGCCCGTAATCTGCCAGCACCCTATGTCAAAAAATTCAACACACCAGCAGTGTGTGAGGAGACCTGAAAGTGGCACATGGCAGAGTGTGGCGATGGAGACAGCAGCAATGGGAGGCCGTACAGGGACCCATGAGAGACTCTCTGGACCTGGCAGCAGCATGAGGAGGCGGTATATAGGGGCCCTATGGCAGATTAGGGGCCTGGCAGCAGCTATAGGAGGCCCGTAATCTGCCAGCACCCTATGTCAAAAAATTCAACACACCAGCAGTGTGTGAGGAGACCTGAAAGTGGCACATGGCAGAGTGTGGCGATGGAGACAGCAGCAATGGGAGGCCGTACAGGGACCCATGACAGACTCTGGACTTGGCAGCAGCATGAGGAGGCGGTATATAGGGGCCCATGGCAGATTAGGGGCCTGGCAGCAGCTATGGGAGGCCCGTAATCTGCCAGCACCCTATGTCAAAAAATTCAACACACACCAGCAGTGTGTGAGGAGACCTGAAAGTGGCACATGGCAGAGTGTGGCGATGGAGACAGCAGCAATGGGAGGCCGTACAGGGACCCATGACAGACTCTGGACTTGGCAGCAGCATGAGGAGGCGGTATATAGGGGCCCATGGCAGATTAGGGGCCTGGCAGCAGCTATGGGAGGCCCGTAATCTGCCAGCACCCTATGACAAAAAAATGGAACACACCAGCAGTGTGTGAGGAGACCTGAAAGTGGCACATGTTTGAGGCATGATTCATGGCGGATTTAGTCAGTTGTGTCAGGAACTGGTGGTTTGAAATCCAGACTAATCCACGCCTGATTCATTTTCACAAACGTGAGTCTCTCCACACTTTGGGTGGACAGTCGTGTCCTCCGCGGAGTTACAATACCTCCTGCCGCACTAAACACGCGCTCCGATGCCACGCTACTGGCCGGGGCATGACAGCCTTTCAAGGGCAAATTCAGCTAGTTGGGGCCAAAGGTCAAGTTTCGTTGCCCAGTAGTCAAGGGGATTGTCTACCTCGGTTGGCAGGGTGCTGTCCAAGTAGGCCCAAGCCTGTTGTTTGAGGTCCTGCTCCAGGTCCACCTGATGCTGCTGCTGCTGCTGCTGCTGGGCTGGTTAGTAGTTTCCTCACTGCGCTGGTGAAGAAAGCTACTCATCATCGACTGCAGACTGAGGCAGCCGCTGCTGCTGGTGGAGCTGCCACTGCTCCTACCACCCCACCCCTCCCCTGCTGCCATGGCAGCGGAACGCGAGCGCACAGGGCCCCACAGTGTCTGAGGATGGACGTTGGCGCACAAAGGCAGAGACCAACTGACTACATAGGTGGTTTTTATAGTACGTTATTTTGGCCTCCCTCTCAGCAGGTGTGAAAAAGGCCACCATTTTTGAACGGTAGCGAGGGTCCAACAAGGTGGACAGCCAAAAAGTCATCCCTCTGTCTGATGGTTATTATTCGGCTGTCGCTACGCAAGCAAGCAACCGAGCATGCTATGGGCCATTTGTGCCAAGGAATGCGAGGGACTCCCTGCCTCCATCTCCACAGCATACTGCCACGGTGCGTCTGGGTCCTCTGTCTCCTCCTCCTCCTCCTCTCTACCAGATGCTCCTGCTCCTCCACTCCTGTCCGCTGAGTGGAAAAAACCACCCATTTCACTCAATAATTCCTGAGCACAAATGTCCTCCTCTACCTCCTCCTCTTCTTCCTGTCCTGCCCCCACAGGGGTCATGTGGCGTTGAGATCTGTGCGCCCACGTCTACCGCACTACCAGCCCCTGACCAGCCATTGTTAACAGCATTTGTTCCAGGACGTGCAACAGAGGAATGACGTCGTTCATCCCATAGTCCTGCCGACTCACGAATAGCGTGGCCTCCTCAAAGGGCCTGAGCAAGCGGCAGGGTGTCACGCATGAGCTGCCAATGGCTGACATCAAAGTTACACAGGGGTAGTACCTTTATCCGCTTGTAACATCAGGAAATCTAGGGTGATGGCCTTTCGCTGTTGTCGTAAAGGCGGTCTAAACATGTGTAGGGTTGAATTCCACCTTGTTGCAACGTCGCAGATCAGGCGATGCTGTGCAATTCCGTTCTGCCGCTGCAGCTCAAGGAGGGTGTGCTTTTTGCGGTGTAGGAATGGCTGAAATGCATGCAAAGTTTACGTGACATTTTAAGGATGTCTTGCAGTGGGATGGTGGATTTTAGGAACCGCTTTGACAACCAGATTGAACACGTGAGCCATGCATGGCGCATGGCACAACCTTCCTTGACGCAGAGCAGACACCATGTTCTTTCCGTTGTCGGTCAACATGGGTTCCGATTTTTCAGTTTGCGCGGAGACAGCCATCTGTCGATTTCTCTGTTCATTACACTCAGAAGTTCCTCCCCTGTGTGACTACGTTCGCCAAGGCATACCAGGTGCAGCACAGCGTGACACCGTTGCGCCCTGCACATGTGATATGCCGGTCGGGGTAATG